TAACCTAACCTACTTCCAAAAACTGCACATCTTTGTTTATTTCGATTTTGTCCAATGGATTATACATTCTTCCGATGACATGGAATACCTCATGAATCCTATCGGTATGATTGGTGAATTTCTTCATAAAGGCCTGTCTCCAGCACCGCGGCTTTTCTTCCGACCGTATTTGGGAATGCTACCTTTCTCATCACGCCACAGCCGTTCTATGTTTTGGGTGTGAGCCTTTTTGTTTGGATCAACGAAATTATAAGAATGGTTCACCGTTAAATGGGCGAACCCTTCGTCGTTGAGACAGTTGTTCCAACAATAAAACATGATTGTCGTCCCCTCAATAATTTTATCCTTGATAATAGCGTGTAGAGTATGACTGTCCCGACTATTCACAGGTATCAATTCCTCCAAATACCCATTGTCCTTGAACAACTCGCCCACAATTGTATTTACGGCGAACAATTTTAGCTTCATCTATCTCGACAATATTGGCAGGACCACCAATTTTCTTCTTGGGAAAACGTGCACAAATGTTCACAATTTGGGCATGTTGTATCTTATAATATGACATTGTGGCCATGCAAAAATAAAATAAAATATTTCGCCGAATTTAGCGATAAAAACCGCGAACAAGACATTTTACAGCCCGAACAACAATTACAAATTAAAAAAATATACTGCTTGCAACGAAACTTTTAATTAAATGTCAAATTTCGTTTAAATAAATATAAGCAAATTTTGATATTTTGTTAAAAATCATAACTGATTTTGTTTTAATTTTGTATGGGCAAAAATAAAACTTTGAAATTCAATTAAAAAAGAATCATGTCCGACCGCCAAATAATTTCTGCATGTAAATTCTTGATAAATCGCAGTCCATCGAGGGTATTTGTCGATTTTAAGAGCATAGCCCTTATATCGAACATTTACCGACTCGGCTATTGATGCTGATTAAGAATATATTCACTTGAAGGATTGGCAGACAGACATGGCTATATCGACTCGGCTATTGATGCTGATCTAGAATATATAGACTTTATGGGGTCGGAAACGTTTCCTTCTCTGCGTTACACACATCCACTTTTACCACAAATCTAATATACCCCTTAACTCTTTTTTGAGTACGGGTATAAAAAGTAGATTCTACATACACAATGTATATTCTACATACACAATGTAGATTCCACATACACAATGTAGATACATCTACAATGTAGATACATCTACAATGTAGATTCTACATTTACTACGCAAAAGGTCGCGCACCGCATCGGGCTAAGTGTGTGCGAGCGAGAAAGAGAATAAATAGCGTCAGCATCGCTAGAGGAGGTGGGGGAAGCAACTAAAATTTAATCTCTTCATTTTCGCTATAAAATTGATCCCATCTGATTCAGAATCGGCAATCTAAGATACTGCATTTTTAGTTTTCTCGTATCTTCAAAATTGTGTCTGCTACAGACTTTCGTTCTTTGTGGGTCGGAAAAGAGGGGGCGATATTTTGAAATGTTCTTGTAGCAGTATGATATCACATGAGTCTGGAAACAAAATTTGGTTGCTCTAGCTCTTATAGTCTTTGAGACCTAGGCGCTCATCAAGACGGACGGACAGACAGTTATGGCTATATCGACTCGGCTATTGATGCTGATCAAGAATATATGTACTGTATGGGGTCGGAAATGTTTCCTTCTCTGCGTTGCACACATCCACTTTACCACATCATATGCTGAGTACGGGTATAAAAGTTCCTTCTCGTTTCAATTTCTTCGGGTATAAGACCATAACTGGGCGTTCAGGATGTGCGGCATAGTTTGTGCTTGTACGGGCACAACAAAAAAAAGTAAACCCCTTTTTTTACAATTGAAATCGATAGAGCAGAGATCCCATAGTATGTATCAAGCTTTACCTTGGTTTCAGTGGTGCTTTTTCTGCAATATATGATGCTTAATGCGAACACGAACTTCACTTTTTTTTAATTTTTTCTTCAAAGCACAAACAAACTGGCGCAGCTTTTTCAAATTTTGAATGGAATCAGCTAATATATGTCTTTCGATAGAAAAATTATTGCCATATCAATTAAGTGGTGGGAAATTCAAAAGGTCTCGAGCTTATTGATCCGCCCTCGTATATTTGTGCTTTCATAACGTGCACAAGTAGAGAGCTGATGATTCAAAATCCTTAATGAGGTTATGCTTCGTAAAATCGGCTATACGAAAGCTGTTTGTCTGTCTGCTTTAACCTCACATGTAGCTCATGCGGTGTTAAGTGTCAAGTCAATAAAAGTGCTCCTTAATATAAAGCTTAGAGTTGGTAGACAGTTTTCATCTCTATTCTTAAATATTGTAATAGCCGAAAAATTGTATGCCCTTAGCTTGAATCGTAATTTCTCATGGTGAAAAATAACCGATGTTGGTCCGCAATCTATGTATTTATGTACAAGTAGAAACTTTTTGTGGTCAGACATGGTTCTTGTTTAATAGAATTTTAAAATTTAATATCTGCCCATAATTAAGCATGCTTTTAAATAAAATGTCAAAATTTTCACCATTCTGCTCCTTCCAAAATACAATTTTGTTTAAGTTTTGGGATTTTTTAGATTACACTAGATTTTTGTCTGCGTCATTTTTTCTTACAACTTACAAAACACTGAACATATGTAGTATATGTAGTCGGTTTTTTCAAATAATATTGAAACTTAGAAAATAGTTCATCTTGATAATATATATGTTTTTTTTAGTTACTTTTAAAAATTGAACGATTGGTGAAAATCAAGAAGTTCAGCTGAGGTTGATATAGTTCGCAAAAACTTGTGCAGGTTTTTTACTGCCAATAACTGATTAATGACGATATGAATGGTATCAATATACATATATGCAGTAGCCTAATATGATTGATTAAGCTATCTTGATTACAATTTTTTGTGAAATTCGGTAGCAACCTCTAAAAAATTAAAAAAATAAAAACATGTAAATTACTATTAAATTCCAGGGTAAAAAAACTAGGTGGTTTCCCGTTTGAATTTCGAAAAAAACCTTTTTTGGACCAGCCTAATGTCAAACTCGGCAAAATGTACATTCTTTTTCAAGCAACCAAACCAACTTTTTATTATACATTTTTTTTATGAATTATAGTTTTTTCTCTATGACAAAATTTTTTAAAGAATTTTTAAAAACTGTTATTTGTATTCTTTCTGTAAAGGTAGCCCTTCTATTTTTCACTTAACTTACTTATTTTACATCTGGGTTAAATGAACTTTGCCATTCTGAAAAGCTGATAAACATCTATAAATAAGATCTGAACACTTTGTAGCTTTAGCTTATCGCCTGGGAAATATTAAGCTTTCAAATACAAAATCGACATTCGTTCTCTTTTATATTGACCAGACGTGTTTTTTTTTACGCTCCGCATTTTTCTTTTTTTTATATTAACAGCCGGTGTTTTTTAAAATAAACCTCTTTTAAGTACTCTCAAAATACTTAAAATCTAAAATCTATATTTAACCGCGAGTGCATACCTGTTAATATGTGTAATATACATAATTATTTTTTTTTGTGCGTCGTTAGTCGTGTGTTTATTGTTGTTTGCGTTCCGTAAGTCCGCTGAAACTACATTTAGCCCGCTCTATTGACGTAGCTATTCTCTCACTCTCTCCCTATCACCTATATCTAACTAACTGTTTTTCATCTCTCGCTCACGAAACTTTCTGTGCAGTAGCGCTCTCTCTCTAATAAGCTGCCGCTGAAACTTCTCTCCTCTCTCAGTCTTTACCGATTTTACTTTAAACGCTTTCTTTGTACCTTAGTCTGATATTTATTTGTTTCGAATTTTGTACTATTTTGTATTATATATATATTATATATTATTATCCCGTACTCAAAAAAGAGTTAAGGAGTATATTGTATTTGTGATAAAAAGTAAAGTAAAGTAAAGTATATATATTCTTGATCAGCATCAAAAGCCGAGTCGATATAGCCATGTCCGTCTGTCTGTCTTGTTGAGCGCCTAGATCTCAGAGACTATAAGAGCTAGGGCAACCAAATTTGTTTTCCAGGCTCATGTGATATCACACTGCTACAAGTGTATTTCAAAATTTCGCCCCGCCCCCTTCCGCCCCCACAAAGGACGGAAATCTGTGGCAGGCACAATTTTAAAGATACGATAAAACGCAGTATCGTAGAGAGTGACCATATCTACCAGATTGCCGAATCTGAATCAGATCGGATCATAATTATAGCCAGAATGAAGAAATTAATTTTCTGTTGGTTCGCTTGGCTCCCCAGCCAGAGAAACGCTACCTATATCTTTCTCGCTCGCACACTCTGCCTCGTTCAGTGCGCGAGCAACCCCTAGCGGAGGAGATGTAGAATCTAACTGGAACATGTACAATCTACATGTTGGATGTATAATATACATTTTAGATGTAGATAGCAAATGTAGCAAACAAATTTAAAATGTAAAATTTTTTTTAAATTCTAAAATTCTAAAAAATTATAAGCTCAAATATGTATATACTGACTGAGTACGGGTATAAGTAGAGTCGCGTCACCAGAAGCGACTCGCACGTTCCTTCTCGTTTTTTTAGAGAAAGCGCTCATTTTTTAACATAACTTATCTTACATTTGGTTGTAATGAACTTTGTCATTCAGAAAAGCTAATAAATGCAGCTATAAATAAAAACTTAATTGATTTCAGCGTTTCCGTTTGGGAAATATTAAGCTTTAAAATGCAAAAACGATTATTTTTCTGTGGTATTTTTAACGATATTTTTACTTTAAAAACCTTTTAAGAAACGTCCTTTATTTTTTGTTATATGTATGGATGGATAACATAAAAGCCGTTCCAGACATTGGTAGTTTAATACACCGCAGTAGTTTTTGAGTACCCGGTATAATTAAAGATATCTTGCGTTTTTAAGAAAACTAGCCATTCTGTTTTTTAGGAAACATATCATAGCAACGTATCTAATTTTTGATCATTGGAATAATTTAAATGTTATTCGGTATACATACCTTAAGAAATTTTTCGTTTTCCTGTGTCAAACTTCGAAGCTTTTTGTTCGGGAATGTGGAAACTAAAGTAATAAAAAAAACAATATGTTTCAAAACTTTTTATTTTTTAAATGATTTTAATATTTTAAGCCGTTTTTACCTTTCAGCTGAAGTTGCTTAAATATGTATGAAACGATGCTATCTAAAATTGTGCAGCAGCTTATGTAAATTGCAGAATCTGAAATTAAAAATCCTAGAATATTAAGTATTGCTATGATGTATATTTATATTTTTAGTACGCACCTAGCGCAGCAAGGCCCTTGGTAAGGCTTTCCAATATATATACAAATGCACATGGCTCCAAAGCGGCTAGGTATGTAACATGGTCTTGAGAAAGGCAATTTAATAAATTGTAATATGCAGAAGACAGTTTTGGATATTCCTGAAAATGCAATAAAAGAAAATCAATAAAAAAAGTAAATTCTGAACTGTTTAGTCAGGAAATTAACTTACAAGTAAATCATTTTGTTGTATAGAAAGTATTAACTTAGCAACAATATTAAGAACGCTGTCCAGTGTATCATCTCCATACAATTTGAAAACGCCACAGTTAACATAGTTTCCACCAAGTGAGTTCTTTAAAATTAAAAAACATATTGCTATTCCTTTTAGTTTCATTGGGTAGAGTCGATCACGTGGAACCTCTAATTGTAAAATACGGTTTCCGTATATACAAATAAGTTTTGAAGCCTCCCGGAACAGCAGTATTCCCATAGGACTGGATACATTTCCAGCCAGTCGTTGCGTTCGACAATGTACCAGCTCAGCGAAAAGTTTTAGAACGGGTGTGGTTACTGCGGGATCATGAGCCCATAAGTCCACTGCACGCAGCAATATGGGCAAGTAGTCTGTATAGTAGCTGTAATCAATAAAATTAGTCAATTGCAATACTTATAAATAATATTCATACGAACAGCCATTCAAAAAGCATGGTATACTGAATACGAGCATTTAGTGGCAGGGCTAATCCTCGTAGGTCTCGTGCCAATCCAATAATTGCTTTCTTAGCCTCGTCATTAGGAAAACTATTAGCATCCATCAGCACAGTTCCAAGGTTTTCAAATTGATCTATACAAAAACAGAGTTAGAAAATTTAAAATGTGTGATAAATACATTTGCAGATTTGAACTGACTTGTCAAAGGCGTCAAAAAATTATAGAAACGTTCTTCATCTTCTCCCAAATCAAACATTAACAATCGGCCTAGAGATGTGTAAAACATGGTGCGACATCGCATTTCACTCAGGGAAGAGTTTGTTCCTAGGAAAGGGAAATGTTCGCTTGTATGGTGTGTCAGCATGAATTGCACTTCGTCTAAGCGTGCAAGCTTACGCACTGAATTAAAGTGCACAGAAAGATCCGAAAGTAACATCAGAGTTTTAGTTATAATCTGTTCAGAGCGCCCCCAAAACTTTAAATTGGTAATACTGAAAATTACAGAAATGTTTAGCCAATGAAAAACAAGAAATTAATATTGAATACATACATTTTACGATTTATAAAGCTTAATAGCATTTGCTCATCGCTAAGTCCGAAAACTTCAGTCAGTCTCTTATATACATTCGCTTTTTGTGCTTGCTCGCTACTATGCATTTTGCGAACTTGATCCAAAAAGCTTAACATGGCCAGCTCGAGCTTTTCGCATCCAGCCTGAGGCAAACGTGCATCTGTCAGACTCATTAGTTGTAGCACTCTAATGACAAGCTCTCCATCCATAGTATCATGCTCGTCGCTAGTCGTAACAGAAAGGCGACCAACAATAGCCGACCCGATAATGTAGACCAACCAAGTTAACTGTAGCTCATGCACAGTTATATCTATGGGATTAGCGTTGGACGTCTGTACAAGATTTTCATACTCACGTGCCTTTTGATCAAAATGCTGCACAAGAAGACTGCAAGTCTTATTATACTCGCACCGCTCAATAACTGACAGTTGCTCAAGCTGTTGCTGCACCATACACAGATCATCCAGTGGGTCCTCTAGATTGTCCCTTACAATTAAAGGAACAGCATCTAGGCGCGACTCGATGTAAGCTTTAATAACTTCTGGTGTATATGTACCTAGTAAATGCGGATCCGGGGACTTTACATATGGTACAGAAGCAACCATACGTTGCCAAAGTGTAAGCAAGTAGTGCACACTGTTTGGTGCAAAAAGCCACAACTACAGAAAGGAAATATATCTTATGTATTCTTATCAAGAACATAGCTTAGAAATACCTACATGCAATGATTGCACAGTAAATTTCGCTATCAATTCGATAGCTTCTGGATAACAAGGAACGGCAATAAGCTCGCCTAATTGATAATTTGATTTAAGTCGAGCTAGCAAGCGGCAGAATTCGTGATAGTTATCTGGATCACTTAAACCCTGAAAATAGAACCATATATATTTTAAATATAAGACCAGCCGTGACGTAAGTGACGGCACACGTACCGCGACACTATGATACCGGGTACTACGTTCGTATATATGTAATCTGATTATTTAAATAACTTATACAATATTTTAGTGCACTCCGTCCTTTTGTAAATCTAGTCGAAGCGTTGTGAGGTTGTGATTGTCGTATTGTGGTAGCAAACGCTGGCCGTTCTTATGTTATTATTACAATAACATCCCCATTCCACTTATGAGCAATATTCTGTTTTCATACCGCTCCGTGCGTTGAATATCTCATCTCTCTCTTTGGTAGAGGAAGACGAGAGCTTATTCTTTATATAATAATTACCCGATCACAAATTCTGTAATCTGGTAGATAATATAATTTTTAATAATTCTGCGTTTTCTGTTCTCTTATATCTTCAAAGTTGTGACGCACATCAAGACAGACGGATGGACATACAGATCGACTACTCGACTCGAGTACTCTTTCTATTGTACGTTGATGTGCAATGGCTGCACCATCAAGCTGCCCATGTGACACCAAGCCCAAGCTTGTTAAGCACCAGGCAGAAACGCAGACTTTCTGTCGAACGACCGTCTGATGGGTGCTGCCCCATGACGCTATTTCTCCTGTGTATAACATTTTCACAGGTGGCGAATCATGTATATATAAATAGATCCCGAGAAAAAACCGTAATGGACAGTATGGGTGTTTTAGCTATAGATGGTCATGGTTCGTCGATTCGCCGATGCATGATCAAATATCTTCAATTATTTCCGTTATCCTTTGTCGTTTATTCCTAAAACACTATTCGACACGACATTTCCGCTGTGGCGCAAAATGACTTTTTCTGATAGATTTCGAGATTTAAAAATTTTTATTGTATTGTTTTAGTTTTTTTAAGAATTTTTGAAGTTTGGTATTTTTATCCATATTTTTTTCACATAACTTAAGTATCTTATATCTGGTTGGGTACGACCCAGACGTTTTTTAGCTGCAGCATAACGTCTGGAAGATATTAAGCTTTCTAATTCAAATTTCATAATTTTTTTATATTTTCCCCGAAATTTTTACTTTAAAAACTCAGGAAAAGTCGAAAAAAATCGTGCCTGCCACAGATTTTCGTCCTTTGTGGTGGCGGAAGGGGGCGGGGCGAAATTTTGAAATACACTTGTAGCAGTGTGATATCACATGAGTCTGGAAACAAAATTTGGTTTCTCTAGCTTTTATAGTCTCTGAGATCCAGGCGTCAAACAAGACGGACAGACAGACATGGCTCTATCGACTCGGCTATTGATGCTGATCAAGAATATATATACTTTATGGGGTCGGAAACGTTTCCTTCTCTGCGTTACACACATCCACTTTTACCACAAATCTAGTATACCCCTTAACTCTTTTTTGAGTAACAAACAAAACTTGTTTCACACGTTCCTTCTCGTTTTATTTTGTTTTATGTTGCTACAAGTTTATAATCTATGTTTAAAAGATAACATATTTTCAAATCCATAATCTTTTAGTACGCCTTTTATAACTTTTCCCAGCGACAGATGTGGGAAAACAGTTTTTAGGTAACTCATCGATTCACCTTCCTTATCCAGTGCTTTAACCAGCTTAATTTGTGATGGTGGTATTTGTATTCTCCTGATTGTCATTACGTGAATCCGTTGTTCCGAAGACGATATCTCGTCTTTTTTGCGTTTTAGTGGCGGTATTTCTTGTAAAGGAGGAGCAGGAAGCGTCAAGCATTGACCAGGTTGTTTCGGGTAACCCCATTTAATGGATCTCCCCATTCCAGTTATTTCTAATGAACAAAAGAAACATTCAGAGCCGTGAATCTCTGGTTTTCTCCACAGCATTGTAGTAAAAGTAACTGTCCATACCTAGGACTCGGTAAAACCAAAATTACAGGTCCCTTTTGTTTCCTTTAATCCGATTTTGGCAGTTGGACTAGCAACGTATCGTACAGTATTTTTCAGGTAAAATGAGTTTTGAGTCGTTTTGGTCAGACAGTTGCAACTTGGCCGTTTATCCGCCTTAAACGACGCCTAATTAATGCGTTTATCTAAAACCAAAAATTCCTGCCAAGAAATATTTTTTTTTCGACTTTTCCTGAGTTTTTAAAGTAAAAATTTCGGGGAATTCGAAAGCTTAATATCTTCCAGACGTTATGCTGCAGCTACAAAACGTCTGGGTCGTACCCAACTGGATATAAGATACTTAAGTTATGTGAATCATAGAAGCACTACCTCTAAAAATAAACACATTTAAAAAAAACATAATACAATAAAAAATTTGAAAAAGTTCAGTTTTGTCGAGTACTGTAATTTTTCGTACAGTTCTAGCTATAGCTCAGCTGCTGCAGTGTGCCGACTTATAAGTCCGTCGTTAACCTGTAACTCACGTTACCGTGCCTTTTTTTTCTTACATTTCATTTTGCAAATCTCTTTTTTTATAAGAAGAAAATGATTTTTTTCGAAGTAAAAATTGGATATATCGGAAATCGGATCAGATATTGATTTTCAATTCTATGGCGACAAAAAACCCCTTTTTGGTGAAAAAACTGACAAAATTGACAAAACCGTACTTGCAGAGTTAAGGGGTATATTAAATTTCTGCGCTAGATCACCCAAATTTTGTTTCCAGACTCATGTGATATCACACTACTATATCAAAATTTCGACCCATGCCCTTCCACCCACAAAGAACGAAAAAATACGTTAAAACTAAAAGCGTAGTATCGTAGAGAATGACCATATCTACCAGATTGCCGAAACTGAATAAGATCGCATCATACTATAGCCAGAATAATGAAATTAATTTTCAGTTGCTTCCCCCACCCCCTCCAGCACGAAACCGCACTACTCATTCTCTTTCTCGCTCGCACACACTCTGTCCTAACCTTTGCGGAGAAGATGTAGAATCTACATTATAGATGTATAATCTAAATTAAAGATTTGTATTCGACATTGTAGATGTAGATAACAGATGTAGAAAACAAAATTTTAAATATTTTAAAATTCTACATAAATCATAAGTTCAAAAATGTATATACTGACTGAGTACGGGTATAAAAGTAGAGTCGCGTCCACAAAAGCGACTCCCACGTTCCTTCTCGTTTGAATGTTAGTTTTCGCCTGTTTAAGCAGTTATGCTAAATTTTAATTTCAATAAAATGTTCCAGATAGGACGAAAAACTAAAACACATCGCAATTTTCAGAAATTTATTCATGCAAAGCTTATATGTACTAAAGTATGTATTTATTGGTTGAGTAGAGCTACTTGACCAAATTAAATTTTAGAAAATATCGTAGGTACATTATTTCAAATGAAAATATATAAAAAGATATTATTAAACCAAAAACCTATTTAAAAAACAAGATTTTTCCGATTTTGTGACCTCCTAAGATGCTAAAATTACAAAAACAACATGTGACATTTAAAAGAAGATCAATGAATGAAGTTGCATCATTAAATATATTATTTTAATTTTCTTTAAAGAATGAGATTGATTTTAAAAACGGCGTCATTTTGACGAAGCATGACTTTAACGAACTAAAAATAAGCATGACAAATAAGGGTCAAAGCGAGTGGTATATAACAATTTTTTGACGGACGTTTTTAGAGAATTGAATGGAACCAACCTCCAAATATGCATAGTACTTTAATACCACAATACGAGGTCTCACACCCAATGGTCATTTGCATTAAAAATTTTAGTATTTTCTGAGATAAACCTCCAAATAACATTATCTCGTACGGCCAAGATTGATATCGATTGACGATAAAATTATAATGTATGAAGAAACAGCTGAGCTAAAATTGGAATTACATACAAAGTAAACAAACATTTTCTTGTGAAATATGAAAAAAGGTGCATTTTTTTAACAATTTTATTTATTGGTAGCTTATTTTATTATGAATCGATTTAGCGGCATCTATTCATAACAAAGCTATGTCTGAAAATAAAACCATAACCTACGATAAATTTTTTTTTTTTTAATTTTTTAGAATTTTAGAATTAAAAAAAAAAAATTTACATTTTTTTTTTGCTACATCTTTTATCTACATTATACATGTACCATTTAGATTCTACATTCTACGCTAGAGGGCGCTCGCGTACATAACGAGGCAGACTGTGCGAGCGAGAAAGAGAATGAGTAGCAGATCTCTGGCTGAAGTAGGCGCGGGAAACAACTGAAAAATAATTTCTTCATTCTGGCTATTTGATTTGATTCAGATTCGGCAGCCTGGTAGATATGGTCATTCTCTACGAAACTGCGTTTGAACTACTGCGTTATTTTTATCATATTTTCAAAATTGTGCCTGGCACAGATTTTCGTCATTTGTGGGGGCGGGGCGAAATTTTGAAATACAGTTGTAGCAGTGTGATATCACATGAGTCTGGAAACCAAATTTGGTTGCCCTAGCTCTAATAGTCTCTGAGATCCAGGCGATAAACAAGACGGACGGACGGACATGGCGATGGAAAAAATAATAGAAACGGCATGCGCATTCAAATTTGAAACCAAATATTTTTGGAGCAAATTGTTTGATTAAAAACAACTGTGCTTGGTTTCAGGATAATAGGTGTTTATTTTGGATTTTCTTTTGGGCTTCTTTCGTAAAAATTATTAGCTGGGTACACAAAAAATAATAGAAACGCATATAAATTTTGTTTTTATATTGTAATAAAACGGTTTAAATCGAAATATAGAAGTAATATTTCATCGACTAAAGACAAAAGAAATATGAAATACCTATTCGGGGGGATCCCGTTTTTGTTGTTGTTATTTTTTGGTTCAGAATGGGTCGTGGCGTATATTATAGTGATATTAATAGAAAACATATCTTAAATCTAAAAGCTGAAGGCCACACAAGGTCAGATAGTCACACATATCTAAAATGGATTTAAAAAAAGTGTTTACTGCGATTTACTACAAAAAATAGATAGACACTCGCGTGTGAAAGCAACAACGGTTCATTTCAACAGGCGCATTGTTCGAAAATCCAAAAAAAAAAAAACTCTCTCGTCGGTAGATCTAAAAATGATCTTAATGCACGGGTTAGTAGTCGTACTATAAGGAATAGAAAAAAAATATACCACTACTTTCCAAAAAAAAGTTTAAAAACCGATTAAATTTCGCAAAGGTGCATTTATGTCGTGCAAGCTAGAAAAATATGTTAAAGTCATATGAAACTAAGGTCAAAGGGCTTATATTTGTTGGGGAACTTCATATTAGGCATCTTAATACTACTTCTCATGACCCAGGTATTCTCTTAAATCGGGTATGCATGGCGGTGGGCACATAATGTTGTGGGGATACTTTACCCGTTCGGTTATTGGTCCAATAGTAAAAAATGTGTGTAAGTATGTAAATATACTGGACAGTATAATTTTGAATAGGAAATACCATTAAAGTGGTAGTTCGATCAGAATAATGACCCGAATCACTCCTAAATGCTAACCAAGAAATGGTGCCTGGACAAAGAAGTTCCCCTGATGGATTAGCCTGATGGAATATCAGACCTTAATCCCACAGACCAACTTTAGGAAACCTAAATGAAAACGACTGGTGGCTATAAGACCAAAAATAGGAATGATTTTTGTCAAAAAGTTAAATACGAATGGTACTCCATGGATCCATCCATTTGTGACGAACTGGTGGATTCCATAGGTCGCAGATGGGTCGAAGTCACTAAAAATCGCGTTGTCACTTCAAAATATATAAGATATAAATTAACCTAGTACCCTTTGAAGCATAGCTCGCAAATAACTGTCAAAATTTTTTCCATTGCGGTCTGGTCTTTGAAAAAACAGAAAAACACCACCGACACTCGCTCCCGCTCTGAGCAGAACACTTTTGGTCTCTTCGCTTGTTTTATCAGTTTCGTGTCTTCGGGTTGAGCCGAGACACGCTCGTGTCTTACAATAACAACTTAAAGAGGCACATTTGATCAAGCGCTTGCAGAAAAAGTGTTTGTAGATGAGCAAAGCAGAAAAAATGTCTGTGAAAAGTGTTTTAGTTTTGTTCGTTTTTTTGCCCCAATGATATCTGGGAAATCAATACTGCATATAATTGTATAGGTACATATGAATATACACTTATGGACAAAATAATAGGTGTGCTTTATTTTTCTTTTTTAACTTTTTATTTCTAATTCATATCTTCTCTAATATCAACCAACCAAAGTTTTTTTCAAAACTTATATTAATTGTCTTTAAAGAAAAAGTAAAAACAGTTTCACAAACCCTTTAATTTAAAACAAAACAAAATATTTCCTTAAATCCGCCAATTTTGGCTGGACACAATAATAGGTGTACGAAGATTAATGTTTAAATTTAATCGATATTTAACTATTTTTGGTCTTGTTTTATATTAAATTGAGTACCTGGCAGCTAATACCCGGTATATCCGCCATTATTTTGCAGGACTTTCTCCATTCGTCTTGGCATGGAGGATATTAGCTTGCGACAAGTTCCAATTGGAATGTTGTACCATGCTCTTTGGACAATATCCCAAAGTTGATTTTTATTTTGACAAAAAGTCTTTCCGACCTCTCTTTTGAGTTCACCCCAGAGATTCTCGATTGGATTTCGGTCCGGGGATTGACTTGGCCACCCAAGAACATCCACACTTTGCTCTCGGAACCAATCCTTTACTACCCGAGAGGCGTGCTTCGGGTCATTATCCTGCTGGAACTTCCATAAAAGTGGCATATTATCCTCGGCATATGGTAGCATCACCGTCTCCAATAGATCTTTGTATACGAATCTGTCCATTATTCCGTCAATACGATGAATCGGACCAACACCATACCATGAAAAGCAGCCCATACCATTAGGCTACCACCTCCATGCTTCACAGTTTTACATGTGTATGTGGAATCAAATTCTTTGTCTTTCGGACGACGAACATTCCTTTTGGCATCATTTCCAAATAAATTTACCTTGGTTTCGTCACTCCAGAGGATATTACGCCCTTTTTTTTCACCCTCCGGTCCGCACCAGTTTCTACGATCTAGTGCAAATTTGTTCCTCATCTGTAAATTTGCCGAACGAAGCGAAAGAACCCTGCGAGCAATTCTACCTGGTAGGTTTGCTTTTGCCAATCGTCGCCGAACGGTCCGTGATGACACAATATTCCCAATTTCGTTGGAAATCGTCCTGGAAGACTTGAACGCGACCCGTTTAACCAACTGAACCATACGATCGTCGGTCTTAGGTGATGATTTTCTAGGTGCTCCCCGAGTTTCACCTATTTTTTCCGGTTTTAAGGCATTGGTTACGAAGTTTTGAGATCGTTTCATTAACATGGCAATGGATTTATACGTTTTTCCTTCATCTCGGAGTCGTCGAATGAGCCTTCTCTCCTCCGCACTACAGTGACGCCCACGGCCCATCTAATACAATTTTAATGGCTGTTAAGTCCCAATTTAGTTATATTTTCCTAATACCTTACCTTCTGCAACCAAATAGTTATCTTAATAAACTACAAATTAATTTTTTGCGTAATACACCTATTTTATTGACCAGCCGAATTCGCAGTCTAAGCAATAAAACAATCCACAATTTTTCCCAGAAAGCTAATTAAATCCGGGAATTCACCCAATTCGCACCGAAACAGTGTGACCATATTAAAAAAGTATAGTTTCCTTATAAAATGTTATGTCTAATTCGATTTAAACCGATATCTTAAAAAAAAAAAATTCACACCTATTATATTGTCCATGAGTGTAGGTAAATTTTGTATTAAACAGAGTTAAGCTTAACCACTAGCAAGGAATTCAGATTTTTCGCAGTTAGAGAGCAAAAGACACTTTTTCGTTCGCTCGTAGCGTCGTTGATCAGTGAAAAACAATAACAAAACAGAATTGCAAAATCGGGTCTTTGCCTGAGCGAAGAGCGAAATGATCTGATCGTGTCTTTTCTGGCTCAATTCGCAATGTGTCCGTAAATGAGAGGTTTTTTTCAGACACCCTGAAAGTGTTGACCGTTTATTGCGAGCTATGCTTTGAAGTTAAAAAACGTGCTCTGACCACAGCCTGCAAAGCAAAACTAAGTGGCAAACGTTGTCGCCCAATCTGGAGGATGGTACAATAGTCGTGATTCACGAGGACAACACGCCACCGCAGCAGCTCTGGAGTATCAGCAGAGTCATCAGCGTGGTAGCAAGGGCCGTTGGAAAGATTCGGGTCGCGAAGGCAAAAACGGCAACCGGCTTATTTACGCGTCCAGCCCATAACCGGCGATGCTACCCATATGTTGAAGGCACGGCCTTCAAGGTGGCCAGAATGTGTAAGCGCCAAAACTTACCTAGAATAAAATCCCCTGCGCACTCGCTTTGCTCGCATTGCATTGTAGTATAAGCAGTCACTCATAAGAACTACCAAATAGATCAACAAAACATTTGTATAAACATGAACGGCAAGCATAGACCGATCGTGCCAAAGTTAGCGTCGTCGCTTCGTCGGCGCTGCGCTGCCGCTATGTGTGCACATGCATACGTACATTCGTATGCATATTTGTGCTTATCATAAGCCGAAGATGATGACGCGACGACGCTGATAGCAGATCGGCTCTGCTGCCGATATCATGTCAAACCTGAAGCACTGACCATTCCAATTAGCATAAAAAGGCCATGCCCTTCATGGACCAGGACAGAGGCTGCCTGGCCTTTCGGGCAGCCCTAGCCTTAGCTACTAAGCTAAATATACAAATAAAGAATATTTCGAAGTTGCCTGGCCACACGGGCAACTCCGACTAAAACAACAAAATCACTTATATTACAGCATTGATACTGAAGTGATGATAAAATACGAATTGCTCAGGAAAAAAAATGTATACCATTGATGCCATTGATACTGTCATCCGTATAATTTTATTAGAAGTTGTAGTTCTTAGTAAAGCAGTGACAATCCGCCCGATATTTTATTATCTGTGCCCCTACTTTTTCGTTTTCCTCGATTAAATATCGGACGGCGACTGAAAAACCATTTTCTCTATACCATGTATATTCTGTCCCTCTTCTTTTTTCGCTAGCCCCCCCCTAGCCCCTAGAACAACAACCATCATCTTCTTCCTCTAACGCATACACCCATCCGCTTCTCATTGAGAATACCTGACCTGTGACCGTAAAAACCCCTCATTATTTTATTGACATTATGACATTGTTTTACACCAAAAGTCATTGACATCGAGAGGGAACGTTAAGAGTCGCTGCAGTGGACGCGACTCTACTTTTATACCCGTACTCAGTCAGTATATATGTGAGCTTATGATTAATGTGGAATTTTAAAATATTTATCTGTTTAAATTTTTTTTGCTACATCTGTCATTTACCTCACTCTTTTACACCTCTGCCAGATGGCGCACACTGCACGAGGCAGAGTGTGTGTAAGAGAGAGAGAATGAGTTAGCTCTGCAGCGCTGGAAGGTGGTAGCCACTGCAAATAAATCATCTTTCTGGCTATAGTAATGATCCGATTTGAACCAGATTCGGCAATCTGTATTGTCATTCTCTACGACACTCCGTTTTGTCGTATCTTTAAGTTTGTGGATGCCACAGACTTTCGTTTCCTTCTCTGCGTTGCACACATCCACTTTTACCTCAAATCTAATATACCCCTTAACTCTTCGAGTACGGGTATGAAAATAAATTAGTTTTTACTATACCCGTTCCAGTGGTTTACGTGTTAATAATGTATATTTCGGGTTCAGTTTCTGTTAATATTTTCAATTCAAGTTCATTAATAACAGTTGAGGGTTAACAGTTGCTAATTATTTGAATCCTTTAGAATAAAAGATTTGAGATGAGGCAGAAACACTACTTACGTGCAAGTTTGTCAAAATATTTGTTACTCCTTCAACTAGATGTGTGAGAAATTTCGTTCTTTCAGTATTACTAAAAAGCGATCGACGCACAGAGGTCATTTGAACCAAACAAGATATGGAGTAGCTAGCTAAACCATTTGGAAGAATCTGGTATAAATCAAAAAACAGTTTCAGTGTGTTTAAATCCAGGAACGCAGGCCGCCAGGCTGTTGGAATCTATTTATAAGACAGCGTTATTTTTAATACTTCGTAAATAGGTTGAAAGCATACCTGAACGTTGTTCATATCATCGGTAGATTCATCTGTTGAGCTTCCAATAAAATCAAAGCTTAAACAATTTTTCGTCAGTCGCAGCACATGAGATATCAACCTTAATATGCATAAAGAATAACCACAAGCTAGCAGATCAAATTCAATTTTATTAATAAGACAATAGGACTAGGTTTAGGTTCCATAGCTTTTAATAACTTAAAACGTATGTTTTAACGTAGTTGATGAAGAGGTTTTGGGTTCTTGAAAAAAAGGACACCTAGTTCTATGAACAGTTCGACCATAAAATCATATGCATGGGTCGCGTTGAACGCGAATTTGTCGACACACTTGTCATTATCAAGGATGAGTGGCGGAACAATTGCCGCACATATGTTATATTCTTAGCGTTGGTCTTAGTTTAATTAGGGTATAGTTTCCTATTTACAGTCCATAAGTTTTGAAAATAAAACGGTTCGAATTTACAACTCGTCTCATCAACAACACCATTTTTAGTCCTTCGAGCCGAATAGAAGTCGCAGCAAAATTAAGTCCATCGAGCCTCTGCTTTTCCCCCACCCGTGGTAAGAAATTCAGAGATAATAGCACCAGAGCCTTTGTTATCCTCTACCAGTGGTAAGAGACAGAATAACATAAGACCATGATTTTTATAGCAAGGTCGCTAACGGCAACCAAAATTAACCCTTGCCCTTGGATTGACTGCCAAGGTTATCATAAATTAAAAGACAATAAAACTCTGATCGGTAGGGAAAATCGCAAAAATTAAGAGACGATAATACAGCTCTAGTCCCACAACACTACACAAAACTAAAATATCCCTTCGAGTAGCGGGTATAAAAACTTACGCTTTCTGCGATTCATCCATAAATTTAAGGTTCTTGCTGTTATCACGTGCTGTTATCAATAGTGAGCAAGATAGTAGAAATGTGTCGTAAAGTTGCTGGTCACGATAGGATGTAGCTATCTTTCGATTCTTTGAGAAGGACAAGTGTACATCTAACTCCACAATAGAATTCATTTCAGATACCAACTGTGATAAGATTTGAACGCCAACTGTGCAGTGCTCCACAGACCCCTAGGAAACGAAATTAAAATTTTAAATTAATTTTAGCTTCTGTACTATTATAAATTTGCAACATACCTGCAAAAACTTTTTTACGTCTTCTAATAAATTTTGAAAGATCAATTCACCTTTGTAAGTGTCGAACCAACCATATTTTGTAATTTTGGCCAGAAGTGTAACCAAAGCTTGAATAACAAAATGCTGCAAATTAGGCCTAGTAGCCAAGTAGTTTAATGCGTAGCTACGAATGTCGATTCTTTGCTCAAGCGTGAGTCCCTGTATTAGTTTTGTAAGTGTGGATGCGGCAAGCAGCTGTGCATAACTAGAATCTGCTCGGTCTAGTAGAAGTTGACATTTGGGTAGCGCATCTTGGCTACTTACAAATGTAGCAAGGGCTTTCTCTGCATCTTCACGAATGCAAACATCTGTAGCTTCGTAAAGTTGTTTGCACAGTACTTCAAGTTGCTGTATCTCCTAAAAAATAAAATATATAAATTTTTATATAAAACAAAAAACAAAAACAAAATGGATTTTATTTTTACTATATGCTTATAACCCTAATTAGCCCTACAATTATAAATGTTCAAGACAATTGCATAAAACATAGGGACAGAAACCGTAATGGTTTTCGCGGGAAACGTTTTAAATGGCGATTTCCGTGAAACCTGAGAATATGTTTGTTAATGTTACTGAGACGTGTTGAAAATTCAAACTATTTTATTTTCAAAATTTATGCACTATATATAGGAAACAACAAACTAATTAAAAACTTAGACCAATGCTAAGAAAAAAACAGATTTGCGGCACATTTTTAAATGCTCATCCTTGTTATTGTACACCTAATGCATGCATACTTACCACATATGGGCATTTCTCTGACGAGGTCCACCGAGACAAAAAAATGTAATGTCTATATTTCCATATAATTATTTGGCGATATTATAGTCTAAATTTAATGAACGACAACTAATTTACCCAATTGACTTATAGTTTCAATACTTTAATGTGAAAACCTATTCAAATAAGCAAAAATGTACTTGTTTGGTATTTTTTTGTTTGCCTTAGCCATATTTTCTATTACTATGTATTATCTCATATAAAAAAGTGCATTCTTGGGAAAAGTTTTTTCTCATATTCTTTCTAACGTATTGGACTATCTTAAAAAAAAAAAATGCTTTAACCCCGGCTAATGGTAAATTTTTAAATGTTATAAACCAAGGAATTTTAATCCTGTGCGAATATGGTCTTAATTCAATTTTAAAAAAATGTATATGGCCCCAACTTGCGCTGAAATCTGAGTTTGAATAGATCGCCGCGAATATCAATTCCATATTTGTCCCGTGCGAATGGCTCGGTTTTTTGACAAAATCTCGAAAACGAATAGTGGCCCAAAATCGACCTTAGCACCACTTATAGGCCTAGTCTAGAGGTGTATCATAAAGCTAAAACGATTTTGAAAATTCGTCTTATTATGTCCTTTATACCACTTGAAATGCGTACGAATGTTCCGTTCGACTTCAGAAAAATGCCCATATGTATGTATGTTTGTTTTCGACGAGAACAATGTACTATATGATTTTATGGCCGCTCATAACTCTAGATGGCCTTTTCTCAAGTGGCCTTCTTCTAGTGGAATGTATTTATGGGGTGGCCTGTGGCGGTTCCTGTTTATGTTCATCTTGTCCGCGGTACGTGATTATTGCAGCGTAGCTTGGTGCTATGTCGGCCGTGCTCATTATTATGATTAGACTGCTCGACAAAACTGAACATAGATTGGGAGCTTTACATTTTTTTTAAGGAATTATGGTTTTTTCTTATGGCAGATTTTTTTTAAATTAAAAAAAGAATTGTATTTTTGTATAATGCTTTTTTTAAAAGGTATTTTGCCATTCTGAAAAGATAAGAAATGCAGCTATAAATTAGACCAAAACTTTTTTTGATTTCAGCTTACCGTTTGGGAAATATTAAGCTTTCAAAAATGTGCGGTATTTTTTACGAAATTTGTACTTTAAAAACTGAGGAAAAGTCAAAAATATATCCCGAGTCTTTTATTTTTTTGTGAATAGGTGCATTAATTCGGCGTCATTTAAGGTATTGCTCATTAAACTCTATGGAGAGAACGCGGATCTAAAATTGGTTGACCAGCCCTCCGAAAATCACAGGTACAGTTACAGTTTATTTCGAAATTTTGTTACGCCCCTTCCGCATTCAGAAAGGACGAAAATCTGTGGCATCCACAACTTTAAAGATACGAGAAAACAAAAACCTAGTAACGTAGAGAACAACGATATTTATCAGATTTCTGAATATGCTTCAGATCGGATTATTATTTTCGCCAGAATAAAGATATTAATTTTCTGTTGCTACCCCATCCCCTTCCAGCGATTCAGCAGCTACTCCTTTGCCCTTTGCAGTGCGCGTGCGGCCTCTACCGGAGGAGAAGTAGAATCTACACTGTCGACGTAGATGACAGATGTAGCTCACATATATACTGACTGAGTACAGGTATAAAACGAGAAGGAACGTGTGAGTCGCTTCTGGGGACGCTACTCTACTTATACCCGTACTCAGTCAGTATATAGATTTTTAAGCTTATGATGTTTTAGAATTTTAGAATAAAAAAAATTAAATTTTACATTTTTTTGCTACATCTGTTATCTACATCTACATATATTATGTATATTCTACACCTAACATGTAGATTATACATGTACCATTTATATTCTACATCTCCTCCGCTAGGGGTTGCTCGCGCACTGAACGCGGCAGAGTGTGCGAGCGAGAAGGAAAATGAGTTGCATTGTCGTTTGCCGCAGGGGGCGGGGGGAAACGAATGAAAATTAATTTCTTCATTCTGGCTATAATTATGATCCGATCTGATTCAGATTCGGGAATCAGATAGATATGGTCATTCTCTACGATACTGCGTTTTTAGTTTTATCGTATCTTTAAAAATGTGCCTGCCACAGATTTTCGTCCTTTGTGGGGGCGGAAGGGGGCGGTGCGAAATTTTGAAATACACTTGTAGCAGTGTGATATCACATGAGTCTGGAAACAAAATTTGGTTGCTCTAGCTTTTATAGTCTCTGAGATCCAGGCGCTCATCAAGACAGACGGACGGATGGATGGACAGACGGACGGACAGACGGACATGGCTATATCGACTCGGCTATTGATGCTGATCAAGAATATATATACTTAATAAGGTCGGAAACGTTTCGTTCTCTGCGTTGCACACATCCAATTTTGGGTACGGGTATAATTAGAGTCGCGGCCAAAGAAGCGACGCGCAACGTTATGTCGCTTATGAAGGAAGAAACGATACCAACTCTGCTGAAGAGGAAAAAATACCTGTGAAGACGAAACGTGCTTACCAACGTACTTTCTCAGAAGCTTATCCCCTTCCAAATTACACTAGTCAACACGAAATTTATGCTGTGGCCCAAAATGACTTTTTCTTATAGATTTCGGGGATTTAAAATGTTTAACGAATTATGGTTTAGTTTTTTTTTAGATCTTGTATTTTTTTAATGTTTTTTTTTCAGAGGTTCAGATGTGCTTTTATTTTTCACATAACTTAAGTATCTTATATCTTGTTAAATAGTAATGCAGCTTAACGCCTGGAAGATATTAAGCTTTCAAATTCAAATTTAATCATTTTTTGCGGTATTTTTCCCCGAAATTTTGACTTTAAAAACTCGGGAAAAGTCGAAAAAAAATTATTGGCATGCATTTTTATACCCGTACTCAAAAAACAGTTATTAGATTTGTGGTAAAAGTGGATGTGTGTAACGCAGAGAAGGAAACGTGTCCGACCCCATAAAGTATATATATTCTTGATCAGCATCAATAGTCGAGTCGATATAGCCATGTCTGTCTGTTCGTCCGTCTTGTTGAGCGCCTGGATCTCAGAGACTATAAGAGTTAGGGTAACCAAATTCGGTTTCCAGACTCATGTGATATCACACTGCTTCAAGTGTATTTCAAAATTTCGCCCCGCCCCCTTCCGCCCCCACAAAGGACGAAAATCTGTGGCAGGCACATTTTTAAAGATAAAGATAAAGAATACCCATATCTACCAGACTGCCGAATCTGAATCAGATCGGTACATCTATAATCTACATGTTAGATGTAAAATAAACATTGTAGATGTAAATAACAGATGTAGCAAAAAAATGTAAATATTTTGTTTTTAATTTTAAATTTCTAAAAAATCATAAGCTCAAAAATGTATATACTGACTGAGTACGGGTATAAGTAGAGTCGCGTCCCCAGAAGCGACTCACACGTTCCTTCTCGTTAGTTTTAGATATATGCATTAATAAAACGTCGTTTAAGGTATTGTTCATTAAAATCTATGGATAAACGGTCAACTTGCAGCCGTTTGACCGAAACGACTCAAATCTAATTTTACCTGTAAAATACCGTCCAATACATAGTCGAATGTGTAAAATCTCATAAGAGAACCTTATTCCAATGACAAAGGAAGACAGCCAAAAAACTTTTTTAAAAATAGTAACAAGCAGAAGCAAAGAAAAATTTTCACTAATCTTAAAAAATGTTTAGTAACATAACACCGAATACAAAAATTCTTTATATCCTTAGGATTTACTGAAAGGACTGAAATTTACTGATATTTTTATGGGTAGGATTGTATAGGTACAATCCTATATCGGAGGTACTACTTTTATTGAATATAAAAAGGCAGACGCGACCAAGATCTAATTTTTGTGGACCAGAACTTGAAAATAAAGGTAAACATTTCACCGGAACATACATACTGTCAACAACATTTAATAACAAAGAAACATGAGCAGGTAGGGTTTATCCATATCTAAGATTCAGTAACACAAACATTACAAGTCCTTTTCGTTTGCTTTGATCCCATTTTGGCCGTTGGATCAGAAAAGTTCCAAACGTCAGCACATTTTAGCTTAGTCGTGTTTAGACTTTCCCAGTTTTGAAAGTCAAAATTTTGAAAGGAAACAAATACCGCAGAAAAACGATACATTTTTGTTTGGCTCTCCTCCCGCCCAACCAACCGAGGGGCGCAGCCGCATGACGCGCGACGCGTGTTACCGAAACGATCGCGAACATGCAGGAAAGATAGGGGTTATCGAATATTAGTCTCGAGGAAAATAAGAAGTAAACACACAAAAAGAGCTAATAATGCAAAGATACCTAAGTAATAATACTAATAACGGGAAAGGTTTGTTAGTACTAGTGATTTAAGAAGAGGAAGGGAATTAGTGGTGGATATTATAAGGTAGAGCGAATTATAATTCGAGCATAAGACCCTAAACGGTTCATGCAAGGAATAATTTGATATACAAAGAGGAAATAACAAAGGAATAAAGTTTCTAGTGGATCTAATAAAAATCGTAAAGTTTATGCGGCTCAAAAAGTCAGGGGTCTAATTTAACACCAAGATCATCAACCAAAGCAATTCTCTTAAGAGAATCACCGCAGAGGGT